ATGCATCTGACATCTTCCATCACCTATGATGCATCTTCCATCACCTATGATGCATCTTCCATCCCCTATGATACATCTTCCATCACCTATGATGCATCCTCCATCACCTATGATGCATCTTCCATCACCTATGATGCATCCTCCATCACCTATGATGCATCCTCCATCACCTATGATGCATCCTCCATCACCTATGATGCATCTTCCATCACCTATGATGCATCTCCATCACCTATGATGCATCTTCCATCCCCTATGACACATCTTCCATCACCTATGATGCATCTTCCATCACCTATGACAAATCTTCCATCACCTATGACACACCTTCCATCACCTATGATGAATCTTCCATCCCCTATGACACACCTTCCATCACCTATGACGCATCTTCCATCACCTATGATGCATCTTCCATGACACACCTTCCATCACCTATGACGCATCTTCCATCACCTATGATGCATCTTCCATCCCCTATGACACACCTTCCATCACCTATGACACATCTTCCATCACCTATGATGCATCCTCCATCACCTATCATCCTATGACACACCTTCCATCACCTATGACACATCTTCCATCACCTATGATGCATCCTCCATCACCTATGATGCATCTTCCATCCCCTATGACACACCTTCCATCACCTATGACACATCTTCCATCTCCTATGATGCATCTTCCATCCCCTATGACACAACTTCCATCACCTATGATGCATCTTCCATCACCTATGACACACCTTCCATCACCTATGGTGCATCTTCCATCCCCTATGACGCATCTTCCATCACCTATGATGCATCTTCCATCACCTATGATGCATCTTCCATCACCTATGACACATCTTCCATCACCTATGATGATCTTCCATCCCCTATGATGCATCTTCCATCCCCTATGACACAACTTCCATCACCTATGATGCATCTTCCATCACCTATGACACACCTTCCATCACCTATGTGCATCTTCCATCCCCTATGACGCATCTTCCATCACCTATGATGCATCTTCCATCACCTATGATGCATCTTCCATCACCTATGACGCATCTTCCATCACCTATGATGCATCTTCCATCACCTATGATCTTCCATCACCTATGATGCATCTTCCATCACCTATGACGCATCTTCCATATGATGACACATCTTCCATCACCTATGATGCATCTTCCATCCCCTATGAAGTATCTTCCAACCCTTATGATGCATCTTTCATCCCGTATGACGCATCTTCCATCCCCTATGACGCATCTTCCATCCCTATGACGCATCTTCCAACTCCTATGATGCATCATCCATCCCCTATGATGCATCTTCCATCCCCTATGATGCATCTTCCGTCCCCTATGATGCATCTTCCATCCCCTATGACGCATCTTCCATTCCCTATAACGCATCTTCAATCCCCTATGATGCATCTTCCATCCCCTATGACGCATCTTCCATCCCCTATAACGCATCTTCCATCCCCTATGATGCATCTTCCATCCCCTATGACGCATCTTCCATCCCCTATGACGCATCTTCCATCCCCTATGATGCATCTTCCATCCCCTATGAAGCATCTTCCATCTCCTATGACGCATCTTCCATCCTCTATGATGGATCTTCCATCCCCTATGACGCATCTTCAATCCCCTATGATGCATCTTCCATCTCCTATGACGCATCTTCCATCCCCTATGACGCATCTTCCATCCCCTATAACGCATCTTCCATCACCTATGATGCATGCATCTTCCATCTCCTATGACGCATCTTCCATCCTCTATCTTCCATCCCCTATGATGCATCTTCCATCCCCTATGATGCATCTTCCATCCCTATGACGCATCTTCCATCCCCTATAACGCATCTTCAATCCCCTATGATGCATCTTCCATCCCCTATGACGCATCTTCCATCCCCTATAACGCATCTTCCATCCTCTATGATGCATCTTCCATCCCCTATGACGCATCTTCCATCCCCTATGATGCATCTTCCATCCCTATGAAGCATCTTCCATCTCCTATGACGCATCTTCCATCCTCTATGATGGATCTTCCATCCCCTATAACGCATCTTCAATCCCCTATGATGCATCTTCCATCTCCTATGACGCATCTTCCATCTCCTATGACGCATCTTCCATCCTTATGATGGATCTTCCATCCCCTATGACGCATCTTCCATCCCCTATGACGCATCTTCCATCCCCTATGATGCATCTTCCATCCCTATGATGGATCTTCCATCCCTATGACGCATCTTCCATCCCTTATGATGCATCTTCCATCCTCTATGATACATCTTCCATCACCTATGACGCATCTTCCATCTCCTATGACGCATCTTCCATCCCTTATGATGCATCTTCCATCCTCTATGATACATCTTCCATCCCCTATGACGCATCTTCCATCCCCTATGATGCATCTTCCATCCCTATGACGCATCTTCCCCTATGATGCATCTTCCATCCCCTATGACGCATCTTCCATCCCTTATGATGCATCTTCCATCCTCTATGATACATCTTCCATCCCCTATGACGCATCTTCCATCCCCTATGATGCATCTTCCGTCCCCTATGATGCATCTTCCATCCCTATGATGCATCTTCCATCCCCTATGATGCATCTTCCATCCCCTATGATGCATCTTCCATCCCCTATGATGCATCTTCCATCCCTATGACGCATCTTCCATCCCTTATGATGCATCTTCCATCCTCTATGATACATCTTCCATCACCTATGACGCATCTTCCATCCCCTATGACGCATCTTCCATCCCTTATGATGCATCTTCCATCCTCTATGATACATCTTCCATCCCTATGACGCATCTTCCATCCCCTATGATACATCTTCCATCCCCTATGACGCATCTTCCATCCCCTATGATGCATCTTCCATCCCCTATGACGCATCTTCCATGCTCTATGATACATCTTCCATCACTTATGACGCATCTTCCATGACGCATCTTCCATCCCTATGACGCATCTTCCATCCCCTATGACGCATCTTCCATCCCTATGACGCATCTTCCATCCCTTATGATGCCTCTTCCATCCCCTATGATGCATCTTCCATCTCCTATGACGCATCTTCCATCCTCTATGATACATCTTCCATCTCCTATGACGCATCTTCCATCCCTATGATGCATCTCCATCCCCTATGATGCATCTTCCATCCCCTATGACGCATCTTCCATCCCCTATGATGCATCTTCCCATCCCCTATGATGCATCTTCCATCCCCTATGATGCATCTTCATCCCCTATGATGCATCTTCCATCCCCTATGACGCATCTTCCATCCCCTATGATGCATCTTCCATCNCGGTAAACTTCCAACACTTCCCGCACCCCCTCCCTCTGCGCCACTACGGTAAACTTCCCCCCTCCCTCTGCGCCACCTACGGTAAACTTCAGAACACTTCCCACCCCTCCCTCTCCTACGCCCCCCTCCCTCTGCCGCCACCTACGGTACTTCAGAATTCCCTCTGCGCCACTACGGTAACTTCCAACACTTCCCACCCCCTCCCTCTGCGCCACCTACGTAAACTTCCAACACTTCCCGAACCCTCGCCTCTGCGCCACCTACCTTCAAACTCTCCCGCACCCACTCCCACGCGCGGTAAACTTCCAACACTTCCGGCCCTCCTCTGCGCCACCTACGGAAACTTCCAACACTTCCCCGCCCTCCCTCTGCCCACCTACGGTAAACTTCAAACACTTCCCGCACCCCCTCCTCTGCGCCACCTACGGTAAACTTCCAACACTTCCGCACCCCTCCCTCTGCGCCAACTACGGTACTGTCTACCTCACACTTCCCGCACCCCCTCTCTGCGCCACCTACGGTAAACTTCAGAACACTTCCCGAACCCCTCCTCTGCGCCACCTACGGTAAACTTCAAACACTTCCCGAACCCCCTCCCTCTGCGCCACCTACGGTAAACTTCCACACTCCCGCACCCCCTCCCTCTGCGCCACCTACGGTAAACTCAAACCTTCCGCAGACACTAACACTTCCTCACCCCCTCCCTCTGAGCCACCTAGGTAACTTCTAACACTTCCCGCACCCGCTCCCTCTGCGCCACCTAGGTAAACTTCAGAACACTTCCCGCACCCCCTCCCTCTGCGCCACCTACGGTAAACTTCAGAACACTTCCCGCCACCCGCTCCTCTGCGCCACTACGGTAAACTTCCAACACTTTCCGAACCCCCTCCCTCTGCGCCACCTACGGGTAAACTTCCAAACACTTCCCGCACCCCTCCCTCTGCGACTACGGTAAACTTTCCTTCTCCGCACCCGCTTCCCTCTGCGCCACCTATCGGTAAACTTTTCCGCACCCCCTCCCTCTGCGCCACTACGGTAAACTTTAGAACACTTCCCGCACCCCCTCCCTCTGCGCCACCTACGGTTAAACTTCAGAACACTTCCCGCACCCCCTCCCTCTTGCGCCACCTACGGTAAACTTCAGAACACTTTCCCGCACCCCCTCCCTCTGCGCCACCTGCGTAAACTTCAAACACTTCCCGCACCGCTCCCTCTCGCCAACTAAAACTTCAGAACACTTCCCGCACCCCCTCCCTCTGCGCCACCTAACGGTAAATTCCAATCACTTCCGCACCCCGCTCCCTCTGCGCCACCTACGGTAAACTTACACTTTCCCGCCACCCTCCCTTGCGCCACCTACGGTAAACTTCAGACACTTCCCGCAACCCCCTCCCTCTGCGCCACCTACGGTAAACTTCAGAACACTTCCCGCACCCCCTCCTCTGCGCCACTACGTAACTTCAAGACACTTCCCGCACCCGCCTCCTCTGGCGCCACCTACGGTAAACTTCAGAACACTTCCCGCACCCCCTCCCTCTGCCCAACTACGGTAAACTTCAAACACATCCGCACCCCCCCTCTGCGGCCACCTACGTAAACTCAGAACACTTCCCGCACCCCTCCTCTGCGCCACTACGGTAAACTTCAGAACACTTCCGCACCCCCTCCCTCTGCGCCACCTACGGTAAACTTTTAAACACTTCCCGCACACCCTCCCTCTTGCGCCACCTACGGTAATTCAGACATTCCCGCACCCCTCCCTTGCGCCACTCGTAACTTCAAACACTTCCCGCACCCTCCCTGCTGCGCCACCTATGGTTAAACTTCCAATCACTTTCCGAACCCTCCCTCTGCGCACCTACGGTAAATCAGACACTTCCGCACCCCCTCCCTCTGCGCCACCTACGGTAAACTTTTTCCAAACGAACCGCACCCCTCCCTCTGCGCCACCCTACGGTAAACTTCAGACACTTCCGCACCCCCTCCCTCTTCTACGCCACCCACCCCTCCCTCTTACCTTGGTAAACTTCAATCACTTCCCGCACCCCCTCCTCTGCGCCACCTACGGTAAATT